TATTTTTTTTGAATATTTTGATATAGTTCAAATACACTTTAATACTTCAGCCATTGAAGTTTAAATTAAACATATGATTGAAGTGATATATAAGATTAATTATTAAAAATAATAATAATAATAATATATAGAGTTAGCGTTTGTAGGTTTAAGCTCCAAATTTTAAAATTTGTAAAGTTTAAATTTCAACTAAAGAGTAAGATTAGGGAGTTAGTTTTGAAATTTCTCTTCTCAGTAAAAACTAAAAATTTGGGGTGAGAGAGGCTCGAACTCTCGACCTCAGGATTACTCAGAAAGCTATGAGACCTACGCGCTAGCCAACTGCGCCACCACCCCGAGTTGTCGGTTTGTTGAGTAAAATAATAATAGATATATTGTAACTACCGCTGGAAGACAATAAGAACGATGTCGTTCTACGACTCAGTATATTCTTAAATCCTAAAGAATCGTGAATCGAGGTCTCCCTTTCTTAACGAACAAACCCTAGCACTTCTTCCCTCCATTATTTACTTGTTTGTATCCCGGTCAATCCTCTTTCCTTCTTCCCGTGGTGGCCTCTCGTACAGAGAGGGTTATTTTAGCAAAGCAATGGGGACAGAAGAGGGTAAGCTTTTCATTGGAGGAATAGCGTGGGACACTGCAGAGGAAAATCTGAGAGATTACTTCGGCCAGTATGGAGACGTCTCCGAGGCTGTTATAATGCGGGACAAAATCACCGGAAGGCCGCGCGGTTTTGGTTTCCTAGTGTTCTCAGACCCTTCCATCCTGGACCGTGTGCTCCAGGACAGTCACACAATTGATGGCCGCACCGTTAGTTTCTGTCTCCTCTATGCCTGTCTTTTGCGTTCAGTTGCTCATTCATTGATGTGTAATTGTTTTCGGACTCGTGATATTTTTTAGGGGTTGATGATTTTGTTTATTTATATTTGTTCTGTTTCTGGTGTTCTGTTATATACTTAAATTGAGGTAATATGTTGTGGCTGCTGGCTGAAGCATATTATGTATTTGCTTATTTTGGTGCTTAGACAGTTTCTCTGAAGTAATGTGTATAATTGGTCATTCTGGTTGGGTGAATCCTAGAGTCGACTGCTTGGATTTTTGAGTTCAGTTATTAGGTTTTGGCAACTGGGTTACATTTTTATTAAATATGCATCTTCCATTTTGTTTCTTACTGGAGGGTCTTTTTCTTTTGTGTTCTCATTTATTTTCGGTGAGTTTTAGTAGCAAGTAAGAAAGTTTTGGCAATGAGTTATGGCTTCTGTTTATATAAATCCAAGCCCTAGTGCCTGGTTTGGACAACGTTGCATTCATGTCATTTGGGCCAAAGCGTCAAGCCTTTATTTCGTAGTGTCATTGATTACTAAATATTCCAGGTCTGGTTGCAATATTAATCGTTCTGAAAGTTGGTTTGGTGCTTGTTTGTCCATTTATTGATGGTATTATATTGTGAAGAGCTTTCTAACTTACGGAAGAATCTCAGTTTCTCCTAATAACATGCCAAAGCATTTCCTGTATGCATCATTATGAAACTACTGGTCTGATCTTGGAACTTTCTTCTATTCCGATTTATGTCTTTATGCTACTTTAGCAGATTAAAACCTTATTTTGGCTCAGGTTGAGGTAAAAAGGGCATTGTCAAGAGAAGAACAACAGAACTCCGTTAGATCAGGGAACCTTAATTGTGACAGAGGTGCTGTAGGTGAAGGAGATTTTAAGACCAAAAAGATATTTGTTGGAGGGTTGCCATCCACAATAACGG